AAGGAAGCATCAAAATGTACCAAAGCATGCGACCCCGGTTTTGGTGGAATGGGATAAAGAGAGACATAGCCGACTTTGTATCTAAATGCTTGGTATTTCAGCAAGATATGGGAACAAAACTGTCTCTTAATACTGCCTTCCATCCCCAAACTGATGGACAATCAGAAAGGACAATTCGTACACTCGAGGATATGCTCCGAGCTTGTTTCCTTAACTCTGGGGGCCATTGGGACGACCATCTACCCCTGATAAAGTTTGCCTACAACAACAGCTATCAAACGAGCATCGGCATGGCTCAGTATGAGTCATTATATGGGCGCCCATGCAGATCACCGATTTGTTGGGAAGAAGTGGGTGGTAGAAGATTGTTCGGCCCGGAGTTGGTAGAGGAGACCACGTCTAAAATAGTTAAAATCAGAAAAAATATTCAGACAGCTCAGAGTAGGCAGAAAAGTTATGCAGATACCCAGAGGAGAGACCTAGCGTTTGAGAAATGCGACTGGGTGTTTCTTAAGGTCACTCCTTTCAAAAAAATTAGTAGGTTCGGCAGGAGGGGAAAATTAAAGCCCTGATTTATTGGACCTTTTGAAATCTTAGACAGGATTGGTACTGCTGCCTACAAACTAGCACTGCCTCCACAGCTCTCCAGAGTCCACAATGTATTTCACGTATCCATGCTACGTAAGTACAATCCGGACCCCTCTCATGTCTTGGCTCATGAACCGCTTCCACTCCAAGAGGATTTGTCTTATGAAGAAGTATCAGTCGGTATCACGGACCGAAAGAGCAGGATACTCCGCAACCGAAAAATATCATTTGTAAAGGTTGTGTGGTAGAACCACACGCCCAAGGAGGCTACCTGGGAGCTAGAATCAGATTTTAGAGCCCAGTATCCCCATTTGTTCGACCAAGAGTAAGAGGTAAATTTGGGAGACCAAATTTCTTTAAGGGGGGAGAGTTGTAACACCTAAAAAAAATTTATTATTTTTGTTTTTTAATTTATTTTAATTTGTATTAGAATTTTAGTTTAATTTTGTATATATTTAATTTATAAGGTTTTAATTTAATTTAATTTAATGAAAATAAAAATAATGATAATGATAAAATATGGTAAAATTATTTTTGGATTTAATTGAAATTGATTTTGGGAAGAAGGGGTGAAAATTTGGATTCTCGGGGTGTTTTTGAAAAGAAAATCAGAAATCGGAGGTCAAAACGCAATTTAGAAAAGTTGTGCCACGTCAGGAGGCCAGTCAATAGCCCTGGCCAACCAGGACACGCAGCGTGACAAGGAACGCTGACGCGGGACGGAGTCACATGCGCGCGATCGGACGGCCCTGATCCGGTCCTGCACGCACAGACAGCCCAGATTCAATCAGGTACGGACGGTCCAGATCGCATCGCGATGGACGGCCCAGATTTAATCCTAAATAAATCGCGATCGGACAGTCTAGATTAAATCTTGATGGACGGTTGAGATTAAAAGGGGAAGGGTATAAATAACCTCACCCACACCCGACCACAAACACTAGCCGCAGTGCCTCGCCGGAGAAGAAGAATCAGACGCCGGAGGAGCCGGTTGCCACCACCCGCCGCCGCATCAGAAAATTTTTCGACCGCCAAACGAGGTAAATTTTCTCTCATTGACTCGTTTTTTGATGCTGAATCCGCCTATGGCAAAATCGGAGCCAAACCACCGGCCAATTGGCCGGAAAATACCGTCGAAGTCCAGCGGCGCCGCCGCAGCTTCCCTCTGTTTTTGCCTCGGATGAGGCCCTTTCTGGTCTCCGTTCGATGCAATTTTTTTTACCACTGTGATCACCGTCCTTTTCTCTACAGGTTGACCGGAGCAAAACATCAAAATGCGACTCGCGCCGGAGAAGCCGCCGCACCCGAGAGTACCGCTGCCAGTAAGTCTTAGTTTTTTGTAATTTTTTGGCCCACCGAGGGCCCTAGGGTTGTTTTATCGCAGGGACCAATGCATGTTTGGTCGAAAACGGCCAACCAGAGGCTGATCGCCGTCGCCGGAGCACAGCGAAGCCGCCGTGCCGGAATTCTAATATTGGCCGAAAGGGGCCCTAGGTCTGATTTGGGATTTTTTGGGACACATGCAGGTACCAGTAGTGCGTTTCAGTTTTCCGAAAAAAATTTAGGGAATTTAGGGACAGCTCATAGGCGCACCGTAGAGCCAATTTCAGACCCCGAAACAATTAAGGATCTCTCACCCTACCTCCTATCACGGGATTAAAGCTTAATAAATAATTAAACGGTATTTTGTGACTTTATAGATATGTATAATTGATTGAGGTTGCCAATAGAGCCCGAATCTGATATATTGTTGGTCAGTTATTGTTTGATCTATTTTTCAGTATTAAATACAGTATGATATTTGATGTATTTATTTTATGATCTCGTATGCATGAATCATGGTTTCTTTTATTATGGTTTGTATTATGGTGAATCCGATACTGTGTTGTCTTGTTTGGTGTCAATTACTGGTTTATATGTTTGTGTATGATTGGATGATTGAGACCAAGAAAAAGGGAAAAAATGTTATGTGAATTGATAAATAGATAATGTTGACAACCTGACTAGATATCCTAGGAGATGGTGGACGGACCGGGTCCGTAAGGAACCCTACCGGGAACGTGGTCTCTTATACCGGATGGGGTATATAGACCTTATGTGTTTTAGCGCCCATACCTGACAGGGTATGAGACGGCTCGTTTCACCCTCATACTAGACGGGGTATTGAGGTTTATGGTTTTGGCGCTCATACCGGACGGGGCATGGGGACGGCCCTGGAATTAGATTATTAATGTCAATGGTTCACGTGTAGTGGGGACCCCCTATGGATCCCCATGGATACTAGTAGACTGGTAAAAGAGGAAATTTGTTGTCTGATTATTGAAGTGCAAAAGTATGACAGGTGTTCTGTTATAAAGTGTACATGATTTTATGATGTTTATGATGTAATTATTTTAATAAGTTATTTTCATGAATCTCACTGAGGTAAGTGGACAGTAAAAGTTTTTATGTTAATAAATGAGTTTGTTATAAATTATGTTCAATTGGTTGTTTTTGTTTTCTACCGACTTTTACTCCTGTGGTAGTGAGATAGTGTGATGTCTTTACTGGGGTAGTGTAACTCATTCCTTACTTAACCATTTCAGATCAGGAAGACGGGGTTTCCGAGCCCGTTCCGCAGGAAGACGGCGAGTTAAACGCCTAAAGACTTTATAGTTCTATTTATAATTTTTATTTCGAGTATTTCTTTTAATTAGTTTATTTTTTCATGTTTTGAGTACGTTTTTTGTTATTGTGTAAGCGATATTAATCAAAATTTTTATTACGCTTCTGCATTTAAGATTTTTAATATATATATTTTCATTTAAATTTCAGGGCCGTTACACTTAGAACCTGACTGTATACAAATCTCCGCTTCTCCACCGATTCTGAAGACTCCATATCATTTGAAGTTGGCGGTGTTCCTTCTGGTGTTCTACGTGTGTATGTAATTTCTTTTTCTTGACACACGTGTGTGTTAACTAAATGCGAAGGAAGAGTTTGGGGAAAGTGTTATTCCATATTCAGTGATCTGAAGTAGAGTGAAATGGGGGGTGATGCATGTAGAGATATATGTGCACGTAGAGTGTATATCGCGTGTTTGTATATGCATATATTTACATATATATTGATTATATACATACATATATAAACTCGCCGGTGGCGGTTTTTGAAGTTTAGCACGAGAGTTTTGAAGATTGAGTTTGGAAATGCCCCTTTGAGGTTGGTTAATTGGTGAATTAAGAACAATTATTTAATTAATTAATTAAAAATTAATCTTTTAACCGGTTTTTAAAGCGTCTAAACATGACTAAAAAAGAATCTCCCGGAACTCTTCCTCTGCATTTAGTTAACACACACGTGTGTCAAAAAATTAACACACGTGTCGAATTTTACAGGAGACTATCAAAACGGTCGAGCAATCTCCTTAAACGCACCGTTTCATTGCTTCCAATATGAATATAAATAATTAAGTTCATTACCAACAGTATTGATGATCGGACTCAGTTTTGGATTTTAATCATCTAACTCTCTCTAGGATGACGACCAAAAACAGCCAGAGCCCACAACCGGAGACAAGCTCGCCGGAAAGTCTTTGAGAGAAGAACAGATGGAATGCGGCCAATCTATTGATATGAAGTCTGCAGAATCGGTGTTGAATCCAAGGTTTGTACACAAGCAGATTCTGAGGATCATTGAAGAAGAAGAGACTGTTTTCAGGGAAGATGATATTTATTACTATCAATTTCAGAAACGACATCGTTCTCACGAACGGTTCTTACGGAGTCCCTTCTTATCTCGCTCGCCTCTGAGCCGTCAAAGCTTAAATTCATCTTTTTCTTTTTCTTTCAAGATTTCAGTGTACGTTACACTGAGACGAATTAGTCGAGAATTTGTGTAAAAAATCGTTATGATCAGTCATTGATATTCTTTGCTTCTTTATATTCTTTCTTGATTCCATTTGAATTTTCAGAGGGAAAAGAGATCTAAAACGACCACGTTTTCCCTCCATCATGTTACGTATTTCTCAATTCAAAGAGTAATAATAGAATTACTGATTTGCATCTATGGTTTCTTCTTTTTTATGCTTTGCGTAGCTTCTTAATTTGTTTCCATCACTAATTCAACCCGTATCTCTGCAGTATCCTCTGGTTCTCCTTGTATACATTAATATATTTACACGATATATATATATATATATATATACACACACGTGTGCGTGTGTTTATACGTATATATGTATGCATGTCGAAGAATGAAGGCGGCAGTTCAAATATGTTAAAATGGAAGACTGAATTTCATTGGGTTTATTTGTCAATTAATTGTAAAAACAAGCCAAGAGAATTAAAAAGCTCTCTTGTTTGATTCTTAAAAATATTAATTATTTTTATATATACTTTACATATTTAATATACGATTAAAAAGTAGAAAAGTGTATCGAAATTCTACTTTTTATTTCAAGAAAAAAAAAGAAGCATATCAAATTCCAGTCAAGAGAATCAAATTATACAACATCGTTCATACTTGGAAAATCAGCTTGAGATATTCACGAGCTTTGCACGACGAGTTCTTTCATCCACCTCCACTTTGAGACCAAGTTCAGCAAGTTCAGGCACATCAGCAGAACCTTGGACCTCCAAATCGGCAACCATTCGTTTGTTTTCTTCATTGCCTTCCAATAAATTCCTCACAGACCAAATTCCCCACTCCCTAAGAAAGGGGTTTTCTTCATCGGCAACGCATTGTTGTAACAGCAACAGAATCCCATTCTTTTCTCTAATATCATCTTGAACATACTTCCTTTGGTATGCACAGTTACCAATCACCGCAACAATATCTCTCCTGAATCCTTTATAAGGACAGAGCTTGGGTGGACATGAACTAGTTCTCTCTTGGTTCTCACTCTGTTTCAAAGCTCTCCTGATTAGTGCAGGAGGTTCAAGTTGACAAAGCAAGCATAAAAGCGAATCTAAAAGTCCAAAAGATAGAAGTGCACTGACAACATCCCCGCCTTCCTCCTTAAAGCCTTCTAGACTCTCTCGTGCACATATATCACGCAAAAGAGTGAGAGAGTATCCCATCACATCAATGGCCGCAGAGCCTGTTGGAAGACAAGATTTCCCTCTGGAGGTGAAATCAACAGCCTTAATAGATCTCTTAAATATTTCAAGAATACACAGTGCCAGAGCATTGGGAATATTGATCTCTCTAATTCTCTCATTTACAATCTCGGACATGATTCTCAAAAGAAAAGCTTGTTCAGATGAAAAAGCATCATTTTCTGAATTACCGGTATCCTCAGTGTCTTCAGTAGCACAAACTTCACATAACTTGGGGAAAAGAATGGGGAAGTGAACATCTTCTAAGCAAATTCTTGAAAGGAGTAACTTCAACCAATCTTCCCTAAAACCAACTGGCAATAGCCAACAAAAGAAATGGAAGTATTTAGACTCCATGTTTGACAACCTATATTATCATAATAAGAAAACATGTATATATACACATATATTGAAAATCTCAAACCCTATGTCCCCTAGTTCCACCTTAAGCTGGGATACTTCAAATCCATCCCTTAATGATAACCGTATGCTCTACAGCCAAAGAGTTTATGCTGACATGACACTAATGATGAGAACCAAGAACCAATTAATGAACAAATTCAAAAACTTACCAGCAGAAGCAGTCTGTATTACTTCAACCACAATGATCAAACCTTGATCTTTGCAAAGCTCAGCAATCATTTTAGGGCTCCCCTCAGCACATACATAAATAACTTTACACAAAGGATCACTAGTCTCACAACTCCGGACTCTTGCAAGCACAATGAACTGATCTGGAAAAAGTTGATCCCATACAGCTTCTTGATGTTGTTCTCCAGCCAAGCAAATGTTTGCCAAAATCTGCAACCCCATTCGAGTAATCCCATAATCTGGATAAGCAGACTGCAAAATAGTGGAAACAATTTCAACACCATTTTGAGCAATAAATGAGTTCTGGTTGGCAATTTCTCCTGCACATAAATTTCTTAGTAGCTTCAGAGATAGCATGAGATATTGGCCACGAGGAGGATATGGAAGAGATTGACTAAGCTGGAGGACTTTAGGAAGCATAGCTCTAGAAGCAATGTTAGAACGCCCATTATCTGTTTTAGAAGACTCTATAAGAATCTGCAGGGCTTCTTCCAAAGAAAATGACCCTGATGCAGAGAACAGTGACTGAAGAATATCTGTAGGCACCAATAGGTCCAGCAATGATTCGTCATCCATTACTCCACCACCAAAAGGAAGGTTAAGTTAACAAGATTTACAAACCAATCTTTACGCCTCTCTTCCTAAATTTCACAAATTGCCAGAAGCTTCTAATAAAACCAGCAAGTGCATGGTTTATATCCGGTCCTTTCGGGTCGTTTGACTCGGGCCGATTGCACTTTGCAATGGCATTTTTGTTTGGGGTCTAGCAGCTCTCTCTTAGGCTTCAATGTACTAATACCTGCCACCAAAACATCATGAATGATTCAGTAAACGTCTTGAAAGGCAGTAAGACATGACAATTAACTTTTTCCATTGTTGACTCTACCGGAGGAGTATGAAATCAACAACGTGTAACTGCTTGGGTATTGAGTGTTCTGCTACTTGAGAAAGTATGTGAGAGGATTGATGTTGAGCAGAACTGGGGTTAAAGCAGCCAACAACATGCCCTGCTAACTTGAACAAAAAGTCAAGCAGGGATCTGTCGATAACCACCCAGGCACTAATCAAATAAAGGAGAAGTTTTCATGCTTTTTGCAAGCATAGCGGAGAGTGACTCAGTCCAAGGATATTGAATGGAAAAACAAGAGCAAGGGAGGTCAGCAGCCACAAAGAAGAAAGAAACCATTGGTCTAAGGATCTTCACTATTCGGCTTTTATCTTATGAGATCTGGGTTGGGGAATTACCTGATCAAAAGTCTTTGGATGTCAGAGATCAGCTGTTCTCCCCTGCTTCTATATTCTTTTCTGCCCTCCTGTCCAATCATCAGTCTCAAATACGTCTGCTTCACTCACTCATCTTTAGTGAATATTGCAATAGTTACTCCTGTATGGAAGAAAAACCATTAATTTAAAAGGTGTTTAGTTGCAGAAAAGGTCAAAGATGAAAGCCAAACATTTTTCTGAAATCTTTTTTGTGGAAGAAAGAATAAATGTTAATAATGAGTTGAAATTCTCATTTAAATTCTTTCGAAAAAAATCTCATTTAAATTGCTAGTCTCAAACATTTGAAGCTACTTATTTGAATACCCAGCTACACATTTCTGTCACAACCTGTGATGCGAGGGCACAGCTCCACAAAATAGGTTTGTCAAAGTAAGGGAGTTACCACTAACCTGTTTAAGATATGATTAGGCACCATTCGCTTGGTCTTTTCCTTTCTTTTGAACCAAAAACTGCTTATTTGTTGTAACCCTTTGTTTAAGAGCAGCAAATAAACCCTTTGTTTCAAGCACCCAAACTGTAACCAAAGAGGGTCATAACCATATCTTTTACTATTTCAAATTTTTTACCTTAAATTGAGCCATAACCCCAATAGGACCCTCATGTATTCAAACCTTAGAAAATGCAATTTTTGGATAAAGGAAAATGCCCCAAACAGCCCTATTCATCCTACGAAAATGGTTCAAAATCAGTGAGCGAGATGGAAAAAAAAATTATGGAATCAAGTTCTGCATAGCTTGATAAAGAGACTCCTTAACCAATGGAAACCAAAAAACTAGCAGAGCAATAAGTAGAAAATGGTGTTCTTTAAAGACATTCTTGCGTAATTAAATATAAAACTACCACTTAAGAAGGAAGTCCATTACAATTATCTAAGAAGAGATCAGCTCCAGTTATCAAAATAATAAAGACGTGTATTAAAGCCATTAAACACAAAAAAGAAAACACTTCAAGGATGTCGTTATTGACTTAATTTTATTTCCCTCCTATTCTTCCTACTTTAGATGCTATACCACTAAAAGAGAATTTGAATATATCTTTTTCAAATTGTCATTATCTTAATGTTCTTCTAGCCTCATCTTGCTGTCACTTAAAAGAGCTTACACTTTATTGTTTTTCCCTTTATAACCCCAACATACACAATGCTAAAAAAGCAACAATGTTAAAAGAATAACAAGATTTCTTTCCAAGTGTTATCGGAAACTAACAGCATCATGTTGGATTGAGCACTAACAATCACCATTTTAATGCAAACCCCTACCAGTTCACCTCTTCTCTCCCTATCTTAACCCAATAATCACATCCTTATCGCCAGTTTTAATCCCAGTCATGCAAATAAGTTTCCATTTTCAGATTCATAAAAATGATATCCGTCCCCCAAAGTATTTTTGTTTGGCTAGAATATGAAGCAGGAGAACGTCCCAAATTGATTCCATTTTTCCATGCAAAGCACAAAAATAATCACAGCAGTATATTCGTCAACCTTTTAAGCATTTATCCTAATAATCAGAATAAGGTTTACCTGTAATTACTCAGTCGATGCCAAATCCAGTTTCAACGTTCATTTTTCCGAGCATATTTCTTTTTCTTTTTTTACTAACAATGGATCAATAACTACGCAACGAGGGCTAGAAAATTTACCTACGAATTCCTTCAGATGTCAGCTACACGATCTTCCGTATTTCTCGATTTCAGCTTTAACTCTCCTCAAAAGTCAGAGGATTCCTTTCCAGTTTCCTCTCTGGTCCGCCTTCCGTTTTTCAAAAGAAAACAGGAAGAGGAGCTCTGAAGTTGGTCCGCTCTCTCTCTCTCTCTCTCTCTCTCTATTTTTCGCACTTCCTTTCCTTTTTCCTCTGGTCTGCTTTTCAATTACCTTTCTTCTTGTCAACCCGTATGCTCACCCCTTCTCACTTGCTCTCTTCGCGCCTCAGCGCTACACACTCTTCCTCTGTTGCACCCTTCTCCAACCTCCTCTTCCTGACATTTAGCCAAAGACAAAAAGAGGAGGAGAACTAACAAAACGGCGCCGTTTGGTTGCTTTCAATAGAAGTGGGCCGGGCCGAAAATGAATGGGCTAGAATGGGCTTCTTCTTGGGATATATTTAGTTTTAAATTAAATGGGCTTGGGTTTTTAATTTCGGGTGAATTTGTTGGATTTAAATTTTAAAATGAAATAGATTTAATTTGAAGATTGGATTAAGTTAATTAGGTTTGAGTTTTAATTGGTGTAATAATAATAATAATTATTATTATTATTATGATTGCAATTATAATTACAATAATAATTATATAATTTAAAGCAAAATTTTACTGGACAGAAAAGTACAAGACACTTATTTTATAGTGTAAGCTAATTATGGTACAAGTACATGATGCTAACATTTGCTAAGATATTTACAAATTCATTATTTATTTATTTATGAAAATTTTGTCTTGTCTTGAGATGTTATTTTTCATAAATTCGCTTTCCTTTCATTTTGCAAGGAGTAACGGACGACATAACGGTAATTTCCAAGGAAGCTTCCGTCCCGCGCTTGCGGTTGCCACGTCATCGACATTACTGACACGTGTTTCTCTCGCGTTCACCGACCAAAACGACGCGTTTCATTGTTTCCTTAAAAACATTTTCTCTCCCAGGTCTTTCACTGATAAGCTAAAATAATCATTCCAGCAGATCCAATCTCATTTGTTGTTTTCTTAATTATATATCTGATTAACTAACATTTTATCGTGACTGACGGCTTGATTTTCTTCCGTTTCGTTTTCTCTGCAACCAGTAAGTCTCTCTCTCTCTCTCTGTGCTCCATTTTCGTATCATATTCTCTGGTTTAGCTTGTATATATGTATGATGTGTATGTATATATATATGTATGTAATTTTTTCTTCATAATTTTGTATTTCTTTTCTGGGTTTATTGCGTGTGTATATGAACAAACAAAAAGTTCATACTTTTGTAAAGATTCCATTATCTGAGTATATGGGTTTGTCTGCATAAGATCTGGCTTCTTTTCAGTACCATGCCAGGTGTTTGTTTTTGTTCCACACCCATTACATGTCTTTTGGTATTTCTAAATTATGATGTTTTCTTTTGTTGCTAGTTTTGTGATGTTTCCTATTTGTTTTTTTTTTTTTTTTTTTCAAAAAGTTTTGAAGTTAGTTCCTGGTTTGGTTTTAAAGTTATTGTGGCTAATCAATTGTGTGCTATTTTTCTGCGTCTAATTTCAAGATATCTGCAAAGGAGCAATGGTGAAGGAGACTGGGTACTATGATATCTTGGGTGTCAGTGTTGATGCATCCCCTTCTGAGATCAAGAAAGCTTATTACCTCAAAGTAAGGCTTCTGTTCCAACACATGGAACTTATTGTTTCGTGGGTTTTTGAAATGCTAGTTTTTTGTAAATTATGGATAAAGCATTTCACTTTGTTGTTGATATCTTTTAGCCTATATAGTTCCTTAAAGTGTCCTGAAACCGTTTTTAAATATGTGACCTTTAGACTTCTTGGTGATCCATTATTGGATATATGTTTACAGTTTTGTTTATTTTGGCACCGGGATTAAGATGTGGTGGGTTTTGACTTTGGGCGAGGAAGATTTAATCTCTGTGATTGAATAGAGAGCTTCAAATTAACTTTTAGTTCTATGCAGGCAAGGATAGTTCATCCTGATAAAAATCCTGGGGATCCAAAAGCTGCTCAAAATTTTCAGGTGGGATACAAGATATGACTTTCTCATTTTCTCCTAGAATGTAAGAGATTTTAATTTTTGTACCTCAAAAAAAATTTATAAGCACAATTAAGTATTAACTGAAAACCATGTAATTCTGTCAATAGTTTTAATTTTATTATTTGCTCAACTTTCTTCCCTAAGCATGTAGTAAAGCACAAAAAAATTGATGGTAGAATTTCATGCTCAGTCTTAAATGATCGATCATGTTTAGATCTCTTTTTTCTTTTTTACTTTAAAATTTATAAGTTTTGCAATTCTTGAAAGGAACATCTCTGTGTGAATGGTACACTTTTTTGTTTCATAGTTTCGGTTATCTTCATACATTACTTGTGGTGTAACTCTTCAGAAGCCAGTTTGTCAAAGTATTTCTTTTCCTTTCTTGTTCTCATTTTCATCCTTACGGTAGGTACTTGGTGAAGCATACCAAGTTCTTAGTGATCCCGAGAAACGTGAAGCATATGACAAGAATGGAAAGGAAGGCATACCAGGGTAAGTTTACACACTATAAGCACAGGCTTGAATGATTCACTAGTAAACACATGTTGCTTATGGTAGGTAGCAATAACTCAAACCGCATTGTCACACACATATGCATAAGAAACTATCATTTGCTTCAATACTTTTTTGTTTCAGGTAACAATGTCAAAATTTTTATAAGAAGCCATTAACAAAAACTTTAATCCAAATATTCTTGAAATTTTATGGAACCTACATATTCAAGGATAACCATGATTGTGTCAGAGCCACTCAGAATAACTTTTGAATATTTGTTCTACTTTCATGTTATTTTTATTCGGCAAAAGAATGGGTAGAAAAATGAAATTGAGTTTCTAAATTACTTTTCTTCTCCAGAGACTTTATGATGGATCCTGCAGCAGTCTTTGGGATGCTTTTTGGAAGCGAGTTCTTTGAAGATTATGTTGGACAACTTGCTTTGGCTTCCATTTCATCAGTAGAAGTTGAATTAGAATCAGAGGACCTGAAATTCGCAAGCAGAAATTCCGTGAGAAGATAAAGGTAATTTGCTCTCAATGGTAGTCTCATCAGTCTTGACTCTTTTAATATGCTTAAAGCTGATTTTTTTCGTTTCGGGATTATGATGCACAGACAATGCAAAAGGAGAGGGAAGAAAGGCTCATCACGGTATTGAAAAATCGGCTTGAACCATTTGTTGAAGGTCGAGTAGATGAATTCGTTAGCTGGGCAAATTTAGAGGCGCAGCGCCTGTCTACAGCTGGTAAAATTTTAGTTCTGTTCCTCATTCTAGTACTCAAAATTACTTATGAATGAAACTTTGTCTTGAATTCTTCCAACTCTATGAGAGGAGTGCTTCTCGTGTGAAGCCATTTATATTAGTCTGTCATGTTTGATTTCGTATTAATTTTCTGAAAACCGTTGCGTTTTCAACGTTTCTTGTTTTGAATATGACCACAAGAATGTCAAAAAAATATGGAATACTTTTCACTGGCAGCAAATTAAGTGCATGCTTAGTTTAACTTTTCGATGCCGCAGCTGTGGGGGCTTTTAGCTATGTTCCAAAAAAACTAAACATATAATGAATTTAAGTGCTTATCTTAAACTTTATATGTAAAAACTGTACATAAGCACAAGTGAAGCATTCCTAACTTTTTTTACCAAACACAAGATAGTCTTTGTCAAGAAAATGTATTTTGAAACTCTATTTTTCTTTGAGCTTTTTACTTGTGCAACGAAAGTCGCAACAAAATGGGAGGTTGGTATTTTAGTAGGAATTGTTGTCTGTTTATAACTGACTAGCTTCTAGACTTCTGTTTTGCTTACATGGTATTTTGCTGAGTTTACTTTTTGGTCAAATAGAACAGATAAGTTCCGTAAAGCTTGAAACTTCTAGAATCTATTTGGATCAAGTTGAAGAGCCCATAAGCTCTTGCAACAACTTATGAAAGTTAGTGAAGGTTGCTTTTTTCTTTTTTCTTTTTTAAATGTGCTTATAAGTTATTAAACATAAACTGGTTGATCAAGAAAAAGCATGATTACAACCATTCATTTTTTTATCTTGAACATCCACGGGTGGAATGTTCCATTTTAGTTTATGATGCTGTCTAGGATATTTTGTTTCATATTTCTCTCCATCCATACTCTTCCATTTGTAGACTCCTTATTGAGATTCTGTCGTTTTCAAATCCAAATTCCTGTTTACCTACTAAGTTTGAATATCTCAAGTTTTAAATATTCGTTGGCCTTTTTTCATTTATTAAATTAAATGACAACACCCTCTTATTCCTACCATTTCTGATTGAAGACTAAGGAAATCACATATTATCCCCTGAAATCAGTGAAATGCACTAGAAGTATTTTCAATCAAAATTCAGAATGTGAGTGATTGAATCATTTTATATTTTCAATCATATTCCAGGCTGGCTATTTTAAAGTTGTAGTTCCTTTGAGGATATGATTGATGGTTAATTCCTCAACTTTAAGTAGAAAATAACCGAATTATTGCTAATACAATATTGTTGATTCATTTTTTTTTTTCACTTCAGCTTTTGGTGAAGCAATGCTACATACCATTGGTTATATTTACACAAGGAAAGCTGCAAGGGAACTTGGAAAAGACAAACGTTATATGAAAGTACCATTTTTAGCCGAGTGGGTACGAGACAAGGGACATTTGATAAAATCACAAGTAATGGCCGCTTCAGGTAAACATTTTCTGCTATCAAGATACCTCTTTCTTTCGAAATGGACTTCAAGGGCTTTGATCAAACTATCAAATGAAACCAATCATCTTGTTTACTTCTCCAAAAATAAAATATCTTGTTTGCTCTTTTGTATGCAGGTGCTGTTTCTTTAATTCAAATACAGGACGAAATGAAGAAACTGAACCAAGGAGAGAATAAAGAAGAGAACATTGTAAAACTGATGGAAGCAAAAAAGGATGCGATGCTTCAATCCCTTTGGAATATGAATGTGCTTGACATCGAGTCAACTTTATCACGTGTTTGCCAAGCCGTGAGTTTCAATAAAGTTTCTCTTTTAACTTAAAACTATCTTTATTTGTGCTGTAAAGATGACTTGCTTCCATCTTCTCTGAGTATTTTAACGCACCCCTTAGTTTATAAGTTAGATTATCTTAATATAAGGTCTTGAAGCAAAAAAAGAACTTCAAGTACATGATCTTTCTAGAATGATATAGCAGTGAAAAAATAATTACGATCGTATAATTTTCATGTCTGTGAAGGGAAAGAAACGGCTAAGGTCCTTTTGAAGGGGAGATGAGTAGAGGAGGAAAGGGGAGGAAACGAGAGTAATTTATTTGTCACAACAAATTATTGATTTTTCTCACTGAATAATTTTTTTTAGTTTTGCTACTAGGACAGATTTCAATCTATTATTTATATTCTAATATGTCTTCTCACGTGAAAGACTAAATATGTGAATCAAACATAGACTCGCTGTACCATACGCAAATTAAATTTTAGTAGAAATAACATAGTGAGAATCCAAACACCAGACATCCAAATCTAATACCAAATAAATTTTAATTGACTAATATTTTGTGTTAGAATGACCAAATAACTCTCGTTGTCTTTCCTCTTGCTGCTCTCTCCTGATTAGACCAAGATTTTGTAGATTTGTTAGGCTAATTATTATATTGAAAGCACGTGGTTAATTGGTTGACTTATTTCCATTATTTATCTAAATGATGGTGTTCCAGATCATTTAGCTAACTTCTGACGGAACTGTTAATCAGAACAGACATTTGCTTTCATGGTTTTTGCAACAGCCCTGAAAAGAATTGTGGACAGGCCTTAAATTCTTTGCTTTGCTGCCCTTAAACTCCTATCAACAGTGTATTTTTGCAACAGTATATTTTTGGCAGGGATACAAAATGAATTCATGAAAAAGGTGACTTTGTCATTAAAGAATCTGGTTAGTTTTGAGTTTTAGGGAAAATCATAATTTCACTCGTTGTAGTTCAGCCGTATTGTGGAAATTTACAGTTCCACTCATTATAGTTTAGTCTCATTGCAGATCAAATCTTTCATAGTTTCAATACGTGGTGATTTAGTTTCTTGTCATTTTTGCATAAAAATAACTAGTTTTTAAACTATCATCTTGTAATTGTTAAATCTTTTCTTCTAATTTTGATCTTAGTCTTAAGCTTCTATATATTTTCATATGTAAAAATACTGAAGCATGTGCAAATGTCCTCTACCAATTGAGTAAAAAAATAATAAAATCACATGATTTAACCTACAACAAGACTGAATTACAGATAGTGAAACTGTACTTTATAATTGACCCCACAAATATTTGGTGGTCTGAAGTTTATTTGATTTTGTGCTAGGCTCAACCTAAAACATAACTTGGGGATGATGAACTTTCAGGTACTCAAGGACCCAAGTGTATCTAAGGAAGTTTTGAGGTTACGAGCAAAAGGACTTAAAAAGCTCGGAACTATCTTCCAGGTAAGTATTAGAAATGATCATGTATCCAGCTCCTCCACCCTTCATTATGTCCTAAATTTTTCACACACGAGAATTATGATTGCTTTTAGTTAGCACGAAAGCTAATTAGGATTCTTCAATCATTCCATCCGCTCTTTACTTTACCCATTGCTGAGGAGTAGTTAAGTTATTCATTTTTATTATTTGTCAGGGTGCCAAGATTGCTTATAGCAGAGAAAACAGCCTGCGCCATGAGACGGAAAAGTTGGATGCTGTGGCTTCAACATCGTGAAACTCGGTCTCATTCTTGGATTTACAGCTGCAGAAAGCTCTTTTTGTTTAAAATTCATACAGTGGTTATACATATAACTTGTATGATGTTGAAAGGGATCTATCCCTTGTATTATTCATTTTCTGCTGGCTGTAGATTTGTGCTTGGGTATATTAGCCTGCAGTTTCTTAGTTGATGTGGAAAGTCGGTGCCTCTACAATCTCTAAACATGCCCATTTTACTTGGAGGAAAATCCAGTTTCATTTTCCATATTTTAGTTTTACTTTGGTTTTTCTTTTTTTGGTTAAGTTATTTTCTTTGTTTTAACTTCATTTTAGGTAAAGCTGTTTATTCTAAAACAGGAAAAGATAGGTGATGCTTGTTTGGCTCCAACGAAGTTAATTAGTGATATTGTATGCCTTGTGAGAAGAAGGTCAAAAAGCTCTCATCAACATTTTCAGTGGCTGATATGCTAACAATGAATTAAGCAAACATATCATCACTAAAAATGGCATAATTTTTCTATATCTAGCTTGAAAGCAACTTAAGTGGTATTTCTATTTCAGGTGTTCTAAGATATCCAGAATCAAAGATATTTCTAGAATTCAAGAGATAATAACATCAAATGAGGTGAATGTATCAAATGATTGTCAATTTGATCACTGCAACTCCACTAATACTACAAATATAGTAATGAATTAAGTTTTTAGATTATAAATAGCAAAGTGACACCATTAAATTTGCATTTATTTAAATAAAAAGTATTTAGTAAAAGGTATTTACTAATTGCCTCTTATTCTTTCCAATTCAAATCAGAAGCTGTCTAATACAACAACACTAAAAATCCATTTACACAGAAACTGCACCAATTTAATATGTTGAGTCTATCCTCTCTACTATAAAATATAAAAAGCCCATTATTCCCAAGTTTTCTGCTCTACATATCATTTCCATGGAAGCTGCTCATCCCATTTAGGAGCTTTCCGCACCAGAATGTCACCATATGCATTTTCTTGCTTCACATCCACATACCCTTTACTTTTTAGTACCTAAACACGTTACAAAGTCACCACTTTTAGACCTCGGGTTGCAGTATTCCACAGCTTTGTAATGTCAAAAACAAAGACAAGCACGTGCACGGAGATAATCTTTTCTTTCGTGTTTTTTGCTCATGTTCACATTGATCATAAAGACTATCATCGAATTCATTTCAAGAACAAAAGTTCTTGGGTTTTTTTAAAAAAAGTTTAACTTATTTGTTCACGAATTTTCTTTTGAACAAAAGTATATATATTTTATAATTAGATAATACATATTCATCTATTATAATACAATTTTTTAACAAAAACATACAATTTAATTAAAATTCGTAATCTCTTATAAAGAGAGATATATACCAACTATCTATCTGAAGATTTATTGAAGTTTATATTGAAATATGAAAAACAAGTTCATGATCAAAAGCTCAAACATGTAAAAAAGTTATAATCTTCTAATAAAAACACATGAGAATATATTTTTTAATTAGAATCCACAATCTCTTATAAAGAGAGAGAATACTAACTATTCAGCTGAAAATTAATTAGAGTTTATATTTAAATATAAAAAACAAGTTCATATGCAAAAGATTAAACACGCACAAATATAGGTTAAGAAACTAAACCATGAAAAGCTGCAAAATCTAAATAAGACCAAGCAATAGATGTGGAACTATACTTTGGTATGTATAAAAAAATATAGGAAACTTACCAGTATCTCATAAAAGAGCCTTGAATTTCCTTTTCGGGTTCTTCCTTCTCAACTTGCGACAGGTTCACCACTTGATCTGTAAAAGTTTTTCCCAAATAGTTTGCCATCCCTCTGTAAAC